AGGACCCTTCGGCAGCACAAAATGCGAAAATGCCCTGCTGGAACCTTCGGTAAAGTGGCCCAGTCTAGCGCGTCCCTTCAAATCCACCAGCGGACCGCATACAGCAAGATCCGCCCCCAACAACTCCGCCTAGTCCATAGGAATACTCGTTAAATTTTTACAATTCTTTCATCTTTTTTTTGTACTACAGCTTTGAATACCTAGGATTGACAGACGGTGGTAAATGTTCTGGAATGCCTCCAGAACTTTCATTCATATTACAAGTGACATCTAGACATATCAAGGATATGATGTGAATGTGATTAAGACACTGGCAATGTGTTTATGACCCTTGATAAATTACTGTACACAGTAAATGACTTTGTCTCACCTGTATAAAAACGGTGACAAGGTACCCGAGCAGAAACAGGATATTTAATTTGAGCGGAGTTAAGGCTACATAGGCGATAGCGTGAGAAGTAAGGACAAACACTACTTGAAACGGCACGGAAGTCATCAGTATCAAAAAGGCGGCTCTACTCTCATGATCTGGAAAAAAAGAAATAAAAATAATCTCCAGCTATTCCTTTGGAAAAAGAGGGCCAGATATGTTTTGAATACTCTCGTAAATACCATCTATGTATATGTAGTGTGACTCCAGTGGAAACTTTTTCAACGTTCAACAATGAGCTCATGGTTTTGTCCCGAAGTTGTTGAACCCGCCCACTTTTAGCTCACGCCCCTTGATGGACAAATCCACTCGTTCGAGTGAAAACTCGGTGCTGTGCCGCATATGAGCGGTGGAGCGTATATGAGAACAAGCGTACAGAGAACATTCACAATTTCTCAAATGCTCACGAAAAACCTCAAACAATAGGAGGACAAGTTCCTGAGAAGGTTGGAGGTGTTCCGCTTCCAAATCTGTCTGACACCATCGGATGTGAAATTGTGTGTTTTTAGTGAGCCTGTGATTATTTCTAATTTGTCACACGGCTTCCGTTTTTGGCGGATAGCCACCCACTGTGATTGCCTTGAACAGACTTCGCGTCGATGCGCTGTAACGTGCGTCGAGCGCTGCAATTACAACAGTGCTCGCGTCTGCGAGCGCTCGACTCATATGCGCCGTTTGCGATAGAGTGTGAAGGAACAGGATGGTCGGTGCTGCCTAGTCATGCAGACTGGTATCGATCGACAGTGGGCGTCTACGGCTGCATCTAGCCTGGAGCGCCGTTGTAACTGTAGCGCGTCAACGCGCGTCACGACGAATTACATCGCGTTGACGCGCGTCATCGCCAAGGATGGCCGCTGCCTTAAGAACTGGTAATCCGGGTTGCATTAACGTCCCTAACACAAGTCAGGCGTACAAAGGTTGATGATACATCTTCGCCGGAGCCTGTACTACGTTGCTCTATGCACAACGCCATTTGCAAAGTAGCTTTCATCGCACCTCCGCAGCTTGGATCTCCTGACAACGTCCACACAAAGGTAGCGCGAAACCTAGCACTCATTCACAAGCACCTATCAAAAACTCTACCTTCACTAGTGTAATAGGTCCATGGATTTAATCGCATTCGTAGACGATTCGGTCCATGATATGCGTTCAAGTACGATGAAATTCTCGCAGCCTGCACGCTAGCACGATTTCCGGTCGTTGCTGCAACAAAGTGAAGCTTTACTTCTTCATAGTTACTGGCACCTGTAGCAACCCAAACAAAATGGTTCGATGTTCATATTGAGTTATTACACACTACCCGTTTACTAAAGAACAAGAGAAGTCGCTGAGTAGCCTGAAAACCCAAGTTCTTGAGGCATACTCAGTTCTGAAGTTAATAGAATGCACTGGAGTCAAGAGTTTACCTACAAGAGCAGATTTCGTAATGAAATTGATTACATGCATAAGTATCTATTGGGTAGGAGTACAGCCTTGTTCGTGCAGATGATGGGATGTGTCAAGGAAGCGGTGGACGCTGTTACAAACCGTTTCTCTCTCCCTTTTCTTTTTCGGCAAGCGACAAGACGATCTGATTCTTCAAAATTTCTCACAATTTCGGACTCTGCGAGACCCCGCCCACTATGAGAAGCTCCGATCTGTTCGTAGAAACCCCACTTACGAAGTAATCAGATTTTGTGATGTCATCGTGCAAGCTCTGCCTATAATAAAATCGTTTCGTTACGCGCTATGGTACTCCCAAAATGCTGGCTCGGTTTAAACAACTCATGACCCGGCTCTCAGTTTAATATCTAAGTTCTGTTCTACTTTCTCTCTTACAACTTGGTTTACATCGCTGTCACATCGATTTACTTTTTTTGT